TAGGATGTAAATATTTTGCTGATTATCAATGAAATGAGGAATTTTTTCAATATTATTTTGCATACATGTGATGTTTTATAAATATCAAAATCCCTAGATTATTTTTAGATGTAACTTTAAACATTGTATATAATTGTTATATGCAGAGGATAATGTTTGAAATAAAATAATCTAAACTTGTCCATAATTATAAATTAAAGTTGGGATCTTTAATTTAAAATTGCTAATGCGGTTCATTACATTCTGAATGAAACAAGCTTATCCTAGATTGTTAATAATGAGATTATTGGAATGAAAGCATTTTATGTAATATGATTACATAGGACCGGAACGCGATTAATTATGAATCTCTAATAAATTCAGTTATTAAATAGAGTATTCAATATTAATCAATGATGGTCATATATGAATTAATCTTAATTCTGAGTAATTAATAAACTCTTATTTATGATACTATGGCCTCGTTCGTTTCGCTGATTCGAGTTTAGAATTCGAGTTTTGCTACAGTAAAAAGCTCTCACAAACAATCACATCTAACTTTTTTGCTACAGTAAAAAGCTCTCACATACAATCACATCTCAACTCAAATTCTAAACTCGAATCATCGAAACGAACGAGGCATATGTTCTTTGACATATTGAGTAATGACACATGTGAATAGTGTCAAAGTCTTGGTATATTGGGAGCATAGTAAAATAAATAGCCGGGAATATTAATTTACAAGATGAAATTCATTCATTCATAATGAAGTAGATGGACGGTTCTCATAAGTGTCGATTCGGGGCTTAAATAATAAGAGCGCTCAATTTTATGATTGGATCATAAAATATATTATTCATTAGAGGATCAATGGTACTTGTGAAAAAATATATAATTAAATAGGTTAACGGAAAATACCTAGCTTTAATTATGAACCGTTTATGGAGGATTAATTCGTATGTAGTGACTATATCAATGGACAACACAAATTCCGTGAACATAATTATTTTTATTATTTTAAGAGTGCAATTCCAAATTTATAGTGGAGTAATTTGGAATTAATAATTGTGATATATTAATTAAGGTGTTAATTAATTGTCAAAATTATTGGAACTTAAAATAATAATGTCCATAGTTCCTCTCAATTGCTCCATAAGATTAATGTGAACTGAATTTATCATATTGGGTTAAAATTATTAATTTAGAATTAAGAATTTTAAATACACATATATTAATTAATTTGATTAATTAATATTAAAATTAATTTAAAATTAATTTAAATTAATTTAGATGAATTTAATTATTTTTTTTATAAAAAAGGGAATTTACTTTTACTCTCCACGTTTTCTCCCTTTTCACTCTCCCTGTTAATGTATGTGTGTGTGTGTATAAAAGAGGAAACGTGCAACACGTTTCCTCATTTTAAAAAAAAAATTAAATAAAAAAAAAAAAGGAGGAGTGGGTGCACGTTTCCTCACCATGAGGAAACGGAGTAAATGTGCGGCTGCACATTTACTTATAAACGGGAAGGAGTTATGTTTTTCTCCGAGGAACAAAAAAAGTTTTTTTTCCAGAGAAAAGAAAAAAAAAAGAACGGGAGAACAAAAGAAAAATTAAAGAAAATTTATTGAGTGCCATCATATATTTTTAAGAAAAATGAGTGATAATTATAGGTGGTTTCTCTATTCATCCATATCATGTGTTGAGAAACCCATTAAAACGTCTACACGTTTGAGTTCACGTTAATCCGGAGATACGTTGAGAAATAACCGTGGTGTTCTTGAAATTTAAGAGCATAAGACGGTGTTGGAGGAGTTCGAAATTGACGTCCTAATCGAACGACGGTCAAACCGTCATTCCTTTCTTTAATATCTTTGTAGTTAAATTAACATTAAATAATAATCGCATTAAATTTTGATTTATGTGATTCTATTGATATCACGCTTCCGCACAATTTTTTTAAAAAATCTGGTTTGAGAAACCAACAGATCTGTCGGCCTTCATCTAAGCAACTTATTAGGATGAATAGTGCAAGCAAGACCATCATCCATATCACATATAGTTAACGTGATACTTTTGTTCACTCACTCCTAATGATTTATTTTTTTAAAATTAATAAATTAACTTAAAAACAACAAACATTTTAAAATATGATTCCTAAAATAGACAGATTATACAATTATTTTCATGGACTTCTCCGACTAAATCGATCCAAGTCCGATCCAACTCGGCTCAAAATCACAATATTCCCAAAAGTTCCCCTTACATGCCCCTCTTGTTCGCTCCGTGAAGTTAAATTGTGTGGTTTTAAATTTTTTGGGTTTGAACTAAAAGTTTTGAACTTATTTGTGTTTACTCTCGTTCAAATTTATGTTTAAAAATGTAAAATATAATAGAGAATCAAATATCACTGCATAGAATAAAAGTCTGAATTGGTGTTTAATTAGTGTGAAAATTTTAAGTAAATCAGAAATATAACTGTTCTTTTAAACTAAAAATACCGTGACAAATAGATTCAAACCCATGAGAACTTAAAAGGGGGTTAGTCTGTGTTTGGTTGGTGGATTCGTATCATGATTTGAATCATGGTTCATGGTTCGCTACAGTATTTTCTCTTACAATAAATACACGTAAATTAAAAATAGTTCTGAATCATGATTATGAATCCATGAACCAAACGTCGACTAAGTTCTTGTGATTTTGGATTCACATGGATTCTTAACCGTATTATAGGTTCAAAATTCTAACAACAAACATGGGTTGTAAAGTGTAAACCATATATTGGGTTCAAACTGGAGTTATGTGATTTTGGATTCACATGGGTTCTTAACCGTATTATAGGTTCAAAATTCTAACAACAAACGTGGGTTGTAAAGTGTAAACCATATATTGGGTTCAAACTGGAGTTATGGATTGTAAACGCGTGAAACATGGGTTGTAAATGCACTAGTTACAAGCCCTTTTCTCATTATTTAACTCGAATTCAAATGGTGGCCACAAATTCGATCCCATTAAATAAAACTTGATTTTTTATTGTTAAAGCCAGACACATAATCAACGCATGATATTCGACATCTAGAAACTATTAGAAGTTTATTAATTTCTTGTTTTTATAGTTTGCAATAATTAGTTCTAGTGAAAGGGAAAATTTGAAATTGAAGTCGAACATTGAGGGAGAGTTTTTTGAATATATATTTTTTTTAGAGAAAAATAGGTGCCATACCAAATTTTATGAATAATGTTAGGATACTAACTCAAATCTTAATATTTTGTTTTTTTTACATTAGTGGATGTTCAAAATAATATCATATCAAGTAACGATAAGAGATTGCATCTATTAATAAAAAATAACAATTCACACATCGCATTAATTAATATACAAAAATTAAAAATCAAATTGGTATTTCTAACCTTACTCAGAAATTATTATATTATTGCATTTTTAACACAACTTCTTTGCAATTCAGATTTATGTTATATTTTGTTGATCTTTAACTAGTCTTCTACGTGGCAGAAATTTAAAACTCCAATATAATATAAATACGAAAATGAGGTTTTGTTTTTTGCGGCGTTCTCCAAAATTTCTCATTTTTCTTATGTAAGCACCTAAACTTTCGTGGCATAATTTTGAATTTGAAGTTTTTTTTATAGCATCACTCAAGATTTCTCTATCAGAGAAAATTGTCTACCCAACAACGGTTTATCCGGGGCAATTAATCAAACTCCAAACCAAGCGAACGCAAGTCAAAAATCAAGAAAGAAAATTTATAGGAATGCCCCCTCTAATGACCTTTCTTAAATGCTACAAATTTCAACTCTCCAGTACTTTCCTTTTATATATTAACTTAAGAGGAGCAAAAATCTCAGAGAATGAACAAAACTAAAGAGACATGTTAATCATGACATATTCCTTAGTTTTCTCAATCCAATACCACCAATGAAGTGGTGCAGCAAGTAGAGTACCGTTCTTCTTTTTTTCTTTTTTCACAAGTTTGATATTCTATAGTCCCGTATTTCACTAATTCGAATTTAATATAATAAAAAAACTCTAAGAAACAGTCACATCTAACTTTTTGTTATAGTAAAAAGTTATCACACAAAGTCACATCTCAACTCAAATTAAAAATTTAAATCAGCGAACTAAACGGGTCATACAACTGTATTCTTACTTAAATTATTGAGTTATGATGCGCTTGAAACGAATTGTTTTTTGTTCTCTCCATTTCATTAACGTGCCTCGAGATTTCTATTATGAATAAGGAGAGCCGCCTCATTTTCTTTTTACATATGAAAAATGTCAGTGTCACTCTCTGTATTTATTATTTGACATGTATAGTCTATTGTATTATTTTTTATTTAAATAATAATATTTCATATTAATAGAGTTTACGTATTTAAAAATAAATCTAGACCCCGTTTGATTTATCGATTTGAGTAGTAAAAAATTCTCAGAAATCGTTATATTTAATTTTTTTACTATAATAAAATTTTTTTACATAAAATTACGTATCAACTCGAATTAGTGAACTAAATGACATTCTAAAGAGTACTGGAAAGAGACCCTAACTTTTAATTTACAAGGCAATTTCCCAAGAGTACCCCTGTACGCCCTCCAAAATGCACAATTATTGAGCCCTCTTTCGTAATTTAACACCAATCAAATTGGCAGCCACAAATGCGTCCCGCCGTCCCATCGCTATTCCCTTCATATAGAGTAAATGCATACAGTACAGCACACACTAATTCGATAATGGTGGTCCTGGGCCTCCCACTCCGCAGTATCAAAAGGCTGCTACAAAAAGTGGGACCCAAGCCCATAATTTGAAGCGCTCTGATTGGCTGGTCTAACGAGTGGATCGACGTCACAATGCAACGCGTTTTGGACTCCCACCCCCTATAAATTCCCCCGTCTCGCGCTTCAATTTTCAAAGCAAGAGAGAGAGAGACAGAGAGAAGTTCTTATGAAAGAGAAGTTTAAAATTATGATTTAAAATTATTTTTATTTTTATATATTTTTTATAAAAAAAAATACCGTAAAAAATTATAAATAAATACAGAAAACAAGCTGGCTCTAAAGCGACAAGTGTTTCTAGATAATGATTATGGAACTCTGATTCTCTTTTTTGAAGAAGCAATCGATTTGGAAAGCTTCGTCGTTCGAATCAGGTTTCGATAATTTTGCTTACTGAAATGTGTCGTTTCTTTTTGGTTTCTTGTGTTGTTTTGAGATAATTTGGTTATCCATTTCGCCATTTTTGTTTGAAATGTGTTACGGATTAAGGTTTGTCGGTTTTCATTTGGTGTTTTTATTGAAAACTGCTGTTCTTGCTTTTGGTTGTGGAATTGTTTAATTGTGTGTTTGTTTTTGTGTGATTTTGAGGTAAGTTTCTTCTTCATTTCGTCATTTTTGTATCGAATGTGTTACGGATAAGGTTCTTTCGCTTTGATTTGGTTGTTCTTTGAAGTAGATCGTTGGATCAATTGCTGAACTCGAGCTGTGTTTATCTGCATTAATCGAGCTTTCAGTTAAATTTGGATTAATCAAGTTAACTGAAAGCTGCTGTTGTTACTTTTAATTTTAGAAATGTCATGCAGAGCTAAAGATTTTTGCGGTTTGACCTCGGTGGGTGGTGTTTTCGAATTTATTTTGATTTTTAGGTGTTTTAGCTTGTATTGATGACTTCGCTGTGATCGGAAACAATGCTAAATTCTGGTAGTTTGCCACCGGTAGTGGATCATGTTCATGTCTGTGAAAACGGATCTCAGTTGGTTGAATTACTTCCTGCCACCAATGATGAGAATGGAGGAGTCATTGTCGATCTGAAGGAGGCAATGGAACCTGCGGCGTTTGCTACGTTGCTCGGAGTTTCACTCGCACAATGGAAGCGACAGGTTCAGTATGAAAATGGATCGTGGAAATCGAATCACCTTCATTCATTGAATATTTGCTGATTAAATTCAGATGCTTCTTCCCTGTTGCTTTATTTTTTGTTCTTAATTCACTGTCCAGGGAAAGAAGGGTGTTTGGATAAAACTGCCCATTAAGCTGGCAAATCTCGTTGAAACCGCAGTGAAGGTAGTTACCTTTTACTCCTATGAATTTTTCGTATGCTTGCATTTCTGTTACTGTATATGGGCTCTTAACCGCCAAATTGGATCTGACATGAACAATGCCTTCAGGGTGAATTTCGCATCTGAATTATTGTGGATACACTGAGTCTGATTTGCCATATTGCTTAGCAATTATTTGTAACAGTTGCATAAGAAACTGTCGAACTCTTTAAACTTATTAATTTTCACTTTCTACTTGTGGTTCGTGGGCATTAGAAGGTGGATTTTAGTTTTCAAAATCACATTGAGTGTTCTCTTTTTGGAAGGTAGATTTTTAGTTTTCTTTTAGGGAAAGGACTGAGGTAGATTTGAGTTTTTTTATTTTTATTTTTATTTTTTATTTTTTTATTTTAAGGTAGATTTTAGTTTTCAAAATCACATTCTTTTATTTTTTGCATACTCACCTTGATAGACACTCTCTCTTAAATTACTATAATTATTTTTTAATGTTTGCTGTGTTTATGACAGGAGGGATTTTGGTACCATCATGCTGAGCCACACTACCTGATGCTTGTTTACTGGATCCCTGAAACTACCAGTACAATTCCTGCAAATGCTACCCACAAAGTCGGTATTGGTGCTGTTGTCTTGAAGGATGGAAAGGAGGTATTCCTTTCCATCTTCTTCTTTTTATTCCTTAAAGAGTAAAGAAGAAACACATTCAAGTCATTAACCATTTAAAATAATTTTTCCCAAATTTGAAATTGTCCCGCGAACTTGGTTACTTTATTTTTTGTTTGTTGGTCGTTAACCACTACCTGCAAATCCGCTTGCTGTGTGCATGCCATGTAGTAAGCTCTCGGCTTGTTTTTGGGTTGATCATCAAATAATATTCTTTTGCATTGCTGCTGATAATTTATTGCTTCTTTTTTTGTTAACTTATTATCCGCCTTGTTCTTATAGATTGCTGATTTAAATTCTAGATTTCCTTCTTGCAGGTGCTTGTCGTCCAGGAAAAGAGTGGCATATTCCAAGGAACAGGTGTGTGGAAAATCCCTACTGGAGTTGTTGATGAGGTGTGTACCTTAGCTTAGTGGTGTATCATCAACTTGTTCGTGTTTTTGTTATAAAAAAAAAAGGTCTGTGTCGCCCCGCCTCCGCCGACCTCCCTCTAGCCTCGCCATCGGGCAGGTCTCGACACTTTTGCTATTAGACATTTTGTAATAAGCTCTTCACCTGTAGGGGGAGGATATTTTTATGGCAGCTGTAAGAGAAGTAAAAGAAGAGACTGGAGTAAGTCATCATTTTCTGTACATGTATTATGTTAATACCTTCAACTTTGATGCGATCCTTATTAATGGTCTAATGAAGATTGCTGGTTTTCACTTCTCCAGATTGACACAGAATTTTCTGCGATATTAGCATTCGGGTACAGAGTCTTATTATCTGAATTATTTGTACTTTCATTTAGATGATCTTTATGTCTCCAAATTTAAGTCTCATGGTAGAATTCTTCGAATTTTTTTGATCGTCTTTGTAAATCTTCTGATCCCTTTACGTGTTCTGCTCTCAGGCATTCGCACAAGACGTTCTTTGACAAGTCAGATCTTTTATTTCTGTGCATGATGCGGCCACTGTCCTACGACATCCAGAAGCAAGAACTAGAAATTGAGGCAGCACAGGTGAGTAAGTGTTATGCGTATAGTAAAACTATTTATGCTGATAAGATTAGGCTACAAAAAGGACATTGTAAATGAAGTAAAATTTATCCTTGAGCTCTCTTATTTATTTTTTTTTCTCCTCACTTCTCTCGACTTCCATCTCGATTATTTTCTTCGACTTGACGCCGATTGACCGGTCGGAATTCCGATTGGTTCAGGGCAAAGTCCTTGAGAGGAAGATATTTTGGTGGGGAAAGTAAAGTGACATAACAGAGGCTTGAGTTTAGTATTGTAAGGCAATTGGTCTTTAATTTGTGTTGTTTTGGTCCATTAAGATTCAGATTGTATTAAATACATGATCTTGTTTTTTCTCACGTATAGTGGATGCCGTTTGAGGAATATGCAGCTCAACCATTCAACCAGAAGCATGGACTCCTCAAGCGCATCACTGATATATGCTCAGCAAAACTACAGGGGGACTATCTCGGATTTTCTCCTCGCCCTACAACTTCTTTCTTCAGTAATAAATCAAGTTATCTGTACTCCTTCAACACCCGGGATTTAAATTGATCCTTCTGCCAATTGTCAAGCATATATATATAGATATATGTGTACTCCTTCATTATATATGAATGAGATAAAAATTAATTAGGCGCATATTTTGTCTTTGATTTGCATTAATGATGGCATGGTAGTATTTAAATGAATGGCAAAAAATACTAAAATAGTAGACCAAGATGACATTTGGTAATTTGTCTGCGCATTCCCATGCAACTCAGCTTCTATTGCTACTTGTCATTGTCACACGACAGATGATCTGCCATGCGGCAGCAATTCCACAACACAGAAGAAAAAGAGTGAATTATGATTCAAAGTCCAAACTCATTGCGGGAGAGAGCTTGTCTGATCTCTATAAATAGTAACCAAGTCTGATCAGCAAAAAAAAAAAAAAAAAAAAAAAAAAAAAAAAAAAAAAAAACAAAGCCTAACAAAAAAAAAAAAAAAAAAAAAAAAAAAAAAAAAAAAAGTAACCAAGTCTTACTATATTCGGCATTTCCCTTAAGAATTGCCACTGCCTGAGCTCATTAATCAACAGTCTTTTCTCAAGACAATGATTTCTGCAAAACTAGTGTTTATTATAGCAGTTTGTTTGTCTGCCTTCAGCCTTTGTTGTGCGTGGGAAAATTCTGGCGATGCCTTGCCTTCACCGACACCTTGTTTCAACTGCACAATGTGTCAGTACCCATGCCTCTCTCCACCGGCTTCAGGGAATCCTTCATATGGAGCTCCTCCACCGCCACCGCCGGAACTTCCCGGCTTACCGGCCGACATTCCGCTGCCACCGCCTCAGCAGCCATGGCAAGGCAAGTGTCCCCCAACTCCTATTCAGTGCTGCCAATACACTCCTCCACCTCCTTATGGGGTATATGTGCCTTACAATCATGCACTTCCATGTTCTTTGCCTATCTTCCTCTACGTTATTATGATGCTTCTATTTTCCTCTGCTGTTACGTTTTGAAGTCTGCATGGTGTTAGTGGTGGTGGTGTTTTGCCAGGTCTTTTCTGTCTCGAAGTTCACAAATTCTCTGATATGGAATTCAAGTTTCTGGTATTTTAAAAAAAAAAATTCTACTAATTATCATATCTGCTGCTGCATATATTTACTTTTTATCACTGTTCATTGTATGATTGTGCTACTTGTGGCATTATCCTTGATATTGGTGCCTCCGTGTATGTGAGCATATGACTGTGTATGTAATGAATTCTCATTTTCTGTGGTTGTCTTGGCGTCCGTTGGTTCAACTCACTCGAATTCATGATTTTAATTCTGCTCCCTCGCACAAAATTAAATAAAAAAGTTTTTATCCTAATAAATTCTCATAAAATTTAAATTTAAAATTAAAATCATTAAGGTCATGTTTATTTTACTGATTTGAGTTTAGAATTCGAGTTTTGTCACAATAAAAATTCTCATAAATAATCACATCTAATTTTTTTTATATTTTTTTATTATAATAAAAAATTATCACATAAAATTACATCTTAACTCAAATTAAAAATTTAAATAGCAAACTAAACAGATTCTAAAACGGCCATTATCTTTTCTGCACGAGAGAGATTTTTCGGTGGGAGTTAAAAACAGAGGATGTTGTCTCTGGCTCTCTGCCAAGTAGCAGAAAGAAGTAGTGCATATCCTTTACCTGGCACGGTGAATTGTCCTCACATATGGAGGTTTTGTTTTGTCAGCGTCAGGCTCAACTAGGAGCCAAATCTTGTTCTCAATATACTGTTCACAAACCGACAAGAATATGTACCTTTCATTTGAATAGACTTATCCCTTTGGTAGGGTTATAATCAAAAGGTAACTTAAATTATTGGATGTCTTTTCTTGAAAAGTTACTTCTTTACTACTCCAGTGGGAAGTTCAAGCAAAAAGAGAAGTGGGAAGTTTAAATGGAATAAGGATCCGTTTATTTTGCTGATTCGAGTTTAGAATTTGAGTTTTATTACAGTAAAAAACTCTCATAAATAATCACATCTAACTTTTTTACTATAGTAAAAAACTCTCACATAAAATCACATCTCAACTCGAATTAAAAACTCGAATCAGCGAATTAAACGGGCCTACATATGAGATTTAGGTGACGTTTGGTTCATAAATTAGAATCATGAGATTAGAATTATTTTTAATTTTTATGAGAGAAAACACTGTAATAAATTATGAACCATAATTCGAATCAGGATACAAATTCCCTTACCAAACGTCATCTTAGGCCTTGACTACATTACGGTTCGTTTATTTTACCGATTTGAGTTTAAAATTTGTTAGAGTAAAAAACTCTCATATAAAATTACATTTCAACTTGAACTTGAATTAGAAACTGGCATTAGTAAATTAAACGGCCCTACAAAATATATATAGTATAATCGACATGATTTATCCAACTCATTTGTTCTTACTCTTGTTCAAAATAAATAAATTACATTAAATTCAAGATACCTAGTCTCATTATTATGCATTAATGCATGCACAACACCACTTATTTGGAACCATCATTGCGATTCTTCGATGAGGTCTCGGTATCTCTGGCTCCGGTAACTTCATTGTCACCTTCTTCTTCTCGGAGATCATGAATTCTCGAACCTTATTATTTGATGAAGCAATTAATGTTACATTTCCAAAAAAACAAAAAAAAAAAGTTATTGATGTTAAACGACTTGCCGTTTAACACAGGTACGTACATCTCTTAATTCATTTGGTTACCACTTTTTAAAATGAAAAAGGTATCAGACATGATCTACGAGTACACAATAATTCTTAGCTTACCCTTTATTAAATCTCACCCTTCCGTTTCTAATCTAGTATCTAGTTGAGAGGTTTGTCGGATGAGCAACGGCATTTATAGAGTGCCGGATTGAAGGTTTGTTGGAGGAGAAACGACATTTATAGAGTACCGGATTGAAGAGTGATCCTAAAAAATTATATTTAATACTTTTAGATTTATGTTTCCTTTTTGTTCTTTTAAAATCAAATTAAGAAGTGTGCGATTCTAGGAGGGAAAAAAAATTGGAGGTGCAAAACTTGAAAAGAAAAGGGAATTAAGGAGTATATTTTTCTAGATTTTGCTATTCAATTGTCACTGTCACTGGCTTCTTTGCAAAATTTTACCTTTTTCACCTCCTTTTTCTGCCTTCACTACATTTTACCAGCGTTTCTCTTGTTCAATAAATTGCAAAACTATGTGAGAAATTGTCTCATTCAATCAATCCACTCTCTGAAGCGTTAGAATTCAGAGAGAGGAATATTTGTCAATCTGTGTTTCCCATTAATATACTCGTGTATTAACTATGTACAAAGACATAAGTCTTCTTTCTTTATGTGGAGGTTTCTTGAACTCTTGCCTCTTGTTGTTGTGAGATCATGTGAAAATTTTAAAAACCATGTGATGCGATGTGATGAGATGATATAATGCCACTGAAATTGATGCATTTTTTTTTTTTTTTGTAGATAGATAAAAAAATCAAGAATTTTATATTGGAATATCATACCGTTTTTTAATTATTAGATCATCACGTTAAATTTTATCGATCAGATTATCATATTAGAATCTTATTAATAGGAATTGTTGTTTTAACTATTAAAATTAAGTTTTAAATGGGTTAGTTTATTAGAAAAGGCAATTATGTGTCACGCGCTATAAATTTTACAACAGATCGGATTGTTAAAACGTCATAAATTTTACAGTAGATAAGACTGTAGTTTTAACCGGTAGGATAAAATAGTAGTTCCTAAAACTTATGAAGATCTCACAAAAAAACTGTATCCTACTTAGAATATTTGTCTTAATATCGTGCCATAGAATTTCGTATTAAGTGTATACACATCTTAATCATACATTTCCATTGATGGAAAATTGCTTTCCTGACTATGGAAAACATGAGAAAGTGATCTGTTTCCATGATTTCCTTTTTAGAGAACAGCTAATAAAGCATTATATGTATCTCGGTCTCGGCTTTCTCAGAAAAACGACTAAAGCTTAGTCGGTATGAGCTGTAAGACTAATTAATACAAACAACGCAACTGCTCTATCCATAATTCTTAGTGAATGGGTTCACCAAATCCAAATTCAGAGTGAGTCCTATTATATAATTGGGAGTTTATGATGTAAGATTAGAGAAAATAAATTATCATGAACCTTTTACTTTTAATTGTTAAATCGTTAAATTTATATCAAAAACTGTTTATTTTACGTATTTTTTTAAATTTAATACAATTTTAATTAAATTTTATAACTAAAAATATAATTTATATCAGAAACTGTTTAGTTTACGTACTTTTTTAAATTTAATATAAATTTAATTAAATTTTATAATTGAAAATATAAAATTACAGATAATTTATTTTTTTAAAGGTCTATTGGTTAAGGTCCTAATATAATTTAAAAGAAAATTTGCTCCCTTCAAAAAAATTAAAAGAAAAAATCCGCGGCTACCTCAAATCAATATGTCAAACCTGTCTTCGTCTTATCTTTCATCTCATATCAAATTAGAGTTCTTATTCTTCTATCTTATCATACAGTTTTGTTTAGCTTATATGCAAGTTCTCATCATTAGAATCGTATATTATATTGTTATTTTTTGTTAGAGAATGAAAGGATATTATAGGTAGAACGTTACTGTAAGGCAGCGTGGTGCTAAACCCCATCTATTAATAGAAAGTGAATTCCTCCATCTACTAATAAAAATTAGATTTATGCGGTATGAGAAATCATGACACGAATCACGTGTGTTTTACGTGTGTTTTTTGTATAAAAAAAAAATATTGTAGCGAATCACGAACCATAATCGATAAAAAAAAAATACTGTAGCGAATCACGAACCATAATTCGAATAATGACATAAATTTATTGACAAAACACATGCTTATAAGTGAGATTTCATTTTTTTTTATTAATAGTGTTTAGCACTGATAGTGCTCCTAAGCATTTCTTTTTTTTATAGGTAAGTTGAAGACATAAGGCGGAAAAAAAGGATCATAGTGAAGAAAGTGGTGTGTGTATTACAGATTATTTTTTCTTTTTTTTTCTCAGGAAAGGTAGTGTTTATTTCTTTTTTCTTTTTTCTTTTTTTTTTGTTTAAGGGGAAGTGGTGCATTTATTTAAATCTTGAAATATTAGGACCGTTTTTTCTATTTACTTTGAATGTGAATTCATTTAGACCATTTTCAAAGCATTCGAGCACGACAAAACCCCGTATTTTCCTACATTTTGTTCGATGTTTAACAAATTAAAATAAACTCTTATCCGTTGTCTAAATTCCTCCAAATTAAATAAACAAGAATGGGATACGATAAACAAAATGAATAATGCAACAATTGTGGAATAATAATACATAGTTAATCATCATGACCAATTGTATACAAAAATAAATCTATAATAAATAAGCACTAATCAAACTTACTCCAAAACATGAAAAAATAAAAAAGACAACAGACTATAAAAATTCTCTCCACAAAAATTAAAAAAAACACACACATAAAACAATTTTAAAAATAAAAAAACAACTCAAAGTATGCAATGAAACAAAGCCTCCCTTATTTCCCCAAGGGTAAAATTAAAAAAATAAATAAAAAAAAAAAAACCAACATTACAGAAGTGAAAATCCTAGCCATGCACTAACAACCAGAGCCACGAGACCCCCAAATCTCCCACCGTCAAATCCAACGGCTCCATTATCATCCGCCGCCTGATCCGCCGGATCCTCATCAGGCGACTCCGCCGGCGAGTCTGCGTCCGCATCATCGGCCGGCGATGGAGCAGCCTTCTTCTTCTTCTTATTCTTCGACGACTTCGGCGCGTCGGCAGCCTTCTCCGGCGCCGGCGCAGGAGCCGGCGTCTCCGCCTCACCCTTGAAAAGCTCCCTCGGCCTCAGAACCTTATCGATTGTGTAGATCGCCACTGGCTGCTCGTCGATGAGCGTTCCGGTGATCCTCGCCGTGTCGATCTTGGTCTTGAGAGTCACCTCCTCGCCGTCGTTCTGTACGGTGAAATCGTACTTGTTCGCTCCGTCGGTGGCGAGAGTGTTGATGATTCCATTGCTCGATTTCAGCATCGCCAGGGATTGATACACCGGAACTCCATGGTACTCCAGTAGCGAAACCTTGCCGGATTTCGTCAGATTCTTATACTTCGGCAAGAACGCCTTGAACGCGTCGTCCAACGGACAGAAAACCGTCAAGCCTCCGGCGAGATTGTCGGTGAAAGTCCCGATCGCCTCCGACGCGAGCAGCGTGTCGGCGAAGAGCTTACATCCGTGCGCCGACATTATTCCGGTGATGTTGAGCTCCGCCGGTCCCGGAGTCGGCGCCTCGGCGGCGGCGGAGGGGAGCGCGTGGCTGATTTGGATGACGGAGATGTTGTACGGGATCTCCTGTACGGACTTGAGGAAATGGGAGGAGAAAGTGCCGTCGTTGTCCTCGGGGGCAAATCCGACCTTTCCGCCGCGCTGGTCGGTGATGTTGACGAATCCGGTGGATCCGGGGGCGGAACCGGTGGCCTGGAACATGGTGGCGGAGAGGGCGGTGCCGTTGGTGATCTGGTGGAGCTTTTTAGCGCCGAAGTAGTCGAGGAGGACGTGGAGGGAGAGAATGTTCTTGACGGTGTAGATCGAGGGGTTCTTCCCGAGGATGTCGGACATGGCGGCGTTGTCGATCGCCAGGACGGTGATCGTCGTCCGGCGGTTGATCTCTGGCGCGAGGTGGGTCAGGGTTAGGTAGTGGTTGAAGGTGGAGAACTCGGGGTGTTTTGCAAGGATTTTGGTGATGTTGTGAGCGGAGGAGATGGCGGCGAGGGAGAGGAGGACGGCGGCCGCCATGGCCAGGACCAGGCGGAGCTGCTGCATTGTGGTTTGGAGAGAGAGAGCGCTAGGGTTCTAGAGAGAGAAAGTGGAAGGAGAAGAAGAAGGAGACAAGTGCAGAGGAGAGTAGTGAGGAGAAGAGCAAAAGTAAAGAGAGGAGTGAGGAGTGCTTAAAATATTGGGACTTAGATACGGGGAAAATTACAGGTGAAGACACTAGTTCCTTTTTTGAAAATTTTCTTTTCATGTTTTTTTTTTTTTTTTTAGGAAAAGCTTTAGAATTTTATTTGTTGTAGAGTAAAATCTACCAAATGTGTTTAAAAAAAAAAAAAAAAAACTTTGTAGTTATTCAGTTACACATGATCGTGGCGGTTGGAAGCATAGTTCAACATTAATTTTACACTTAATTTTATTATGAATTGTATAGTTCAACCCCTCATAATCTGACTAATCTGACTCATATGTCTACGTATTTCTATTATTTTTTATGTTCTTTTAATAATATTATGATATGTCAATTAAAATCTCTCGTTATATAAAATTTCATATTACATTCACATTAATTAAAAAATTATAACGGTTAAAATGTTTTTATTAACGTGACATAATCTTATTCAAAGATGTGAATGAAGGGACATCTTATTAGCTCAATCTCAATCCTCTACTTAAAAGTTTTTAAAAAATGCATAATTCTTGTTTTTTATTATAGGTGTAAAATATAACATATTTTTAGGGCAACAATATGGCATAAATCATTACCCTATAAATCATTACCATATATGCATGTAGAATATAGTTTTGTGTGCATGTTATGAACTTTTCTTGTCTTTTTTGTTTTCTTTCTTCTTTAATTTTGAGATAAAAAAATGGGCTTGTTTTTTTGGTGTGGTTTAATGTATCCGAGGAAAGCTTGGGAAGGGCATAACAAGGTTGTTAAGTTCTTTAAACTGTGCTTTGAAATTTTATTGATGTACCTTTCTTGTATGTTGACCCTTTTTTACTTAATAATTATGGATCGATTCATCACTACTTTTTGTTAACGTTCATTTCCATTGCTTTAAAATATGCTCTAATGGAGAATGTAACGCGACTCTGTTCATTTTAGTGATTTAAGTTTAGAATTTAAGTTTTACTACAGTGAAAAGTTCTCTGAAACAGTCACATTTAACTTTTTTGTTACAGTAAAAAGCTCTCACATAAAGTCATATCTCAACTCGAATTAAAAACTCGAATCAGCGAACTAAACGGGCCCTTAATATTGTCGTTGGAGACTTTTTGGAACTGAGATGGGTAATTGCATAAAGACCTTAATCATTGTATTATTTTTTTATATTAGACTTTGAGGCGCATATAATGGTGTATAATTTAAAAATCAACGCTTAAATTTTATTTGAAATGAAATCCATGGGACATAGGAAAGGAAAGTATCTTATCGAAAATAATATAAACTATTTTTAATATTTTGACAGATTAAGTAATTGGATAGTTTATTCTCATATAAATAATAAGAGAGATTATTTTTCATATTTTGTCTTTGCTCTCTTTGTTATAAGTGTGGCTATAAATAACATATTTTGTGCTTGCTCTTTTTATGATATGTATGACTATAAATAACTAGATAACAAGGCACAAACAAAAGAGTGTGACAAAAATATGTAAGCTTTGTCTGTTTTATTTCTTTCCTAGTTGTGAATTTATCGTGATTGTTCAGACTCTGTCATTGTAATAACCACGCACACCGTTAGCAATTAAACACGTGGTGATGATCGTGATTGTAAAGGATTGTGATTTGACGTAGGAAGATCATGCTTGTGACTAGAGTATCGTGAGACTATCCCGTTGATGATTTCTGAACGGATATCGAATTAGAGATCTGAGATGGAACCTGGTGGTATATTTTTCCTTTCACTTTTCAAATATACCTAAGAAAATATTAAATTCAAACGGCTATATAAGGAAGCATAAATTGGTTCAAGAAAAAACTTTTTATATTGAAGAGTGACATTTTGAAATAGGGAAAAAAAATATATACAACAGTTACATCTTACTTGTAACGGCAAAAAGGGATTTAGCAAACTCGAGGAATAAAATAAAGGGGGAATTATAAATAGAGTAAAGGAGCTGCTGAAGAACAGAATCCACGTGGTTTTGGGCATTGGGAGCATTTCCTTTGATCAGAAGACAGAAATCAAGGCAATAATGTAATTTCAAAAAATAATAAAATAATAATAATAATAAAAGAAACAAAGAGAAAAAGAAAAGTACCTTCTTTCTTCTTCATTTTACAGTGGATTTACTCCCCAAAGAAAGACCAATTTCACAAGCATCGAATAGAATCAAATCAGCCAATCCCACGTTGGGCAATGGCCCACTTATTGTGTGTCCAGAAGCTTCCACGGGACCCACATGACACCCATCAAATCATCTCATGCACGTAATTGCAATATTGCACTAATTATCATGATTCAAGGGGAGAACCTCAATATTATCCTATTTTAATAAATTATCTCTTAAATTTTTAATTTTAATAAATTATTCTTTAAATTTATAAATTTATTGTAATGTGCCATATTTAATTAAATTTACTCAAAATTTTTATTAGATTCAAGAGATTAAAAGTTGAGAAAATATTTGTATTACATTTGAATTAGAATATTTAAGCTGAACGTATTTTTTGACACTAATTTAACACAAGTATTGTCAAAATGAGGCATATACATCAACTTTACAAATTGAGGGGGGCAATTGAATCAAATTAAAAATTTAGGGAACAAATTACTAAACCACGATAAGTTTAAGGGACAAGTGTGTTAAAAACCCTAAAAGTAAGTAATTATGTGAATTTACACTGACCAATTTTTTTAAAAATTTTTTTTGACACAAAATGAAATTAAATGTGTACCTTTTATAAATTTCATTTAAACCCTCATTTTATCTCATATTCTTGTTAAAGATGCGAAAATACTGTAGCGAACTACGAACTATAATTCGAATCAGAAAATAAATCTCCCAACCAAATAACACCTAATTCTTTATGGTGGAGTCCATAGTCTTAACAGATCTAATAGTTATTAGCTTGACAAAGCATATTAGTGAAAAAATAATATCTTACCTACATAAAATGGTATATTTTTCCCCCCTTAAAGAACGTTTTATTCCCCCTTTGAATGGTAAAATGGTAATCTCAAAACACACAAGAAAAATGGGAAATGTAAAAGAAGCATTTTGGTAAAAAAATGACTGTGTGCCAACTCAGCATTTGTCGGCATTGAAGAAGTGATGAGGGTACTTTCGTAGTTTTGTTGAAATTAGAGGGCAATATCCCAGACAAAAGTGTGGGTGGTTCTGGTTGATCTGTTGGGCCAAACTGCCCAGGTACCTGGATTCTACAAAGATTGCCAGTCTGGTCACAAGTTCACTAACTCATAGACTTCAGCCACGTGTACGGTTGAGATGGTGCAATCTCACATCCGTTAAGATTTTCCACCGACAATACTTTTCATGGATGAGTTGGAAACACGATGACCTTTAACGGCTGGGATCTTTTCTTCTAAATTCTTCTTCTTTTTGTTTTTGTTTTGTTTTTTTTTTTTGTCTTGCGTGGAAGAAAGTAGACACACAAACTTTGTATTAATTAACTTAATCCTATAGATGTTTTGGGTTTAAGCAATTTCGCAATTTTTAATCAAAGGAAAAACAATAGAAATTTAATGTGATTGTGGTTATAATTATAGGCTTTTTCACTATTGGATTCTATTCCAATCTAACAATCCCAAAACATACGTACATAAATGAGAGTATATAATATGTGTAGGTGCATAATAGATGCATAATTAGTGGCAAAATTAATGTGCATGATTATTCCAAGGCAATCTAGAGTAATGAAATGGTTTTGTTTATGATTGATTGAGAAAGTGTGCTAGTTAGGCCTCAATTATGTTGGTGGATGCCGTTAGAAACTTTGGAAAACTCGTCCAAATTCAGTGTCTTTATCATGAAAATAAACAAGTATCAATGTACTCATACAAAAACAAAGCTTAAACATATAAAAACGCACCTAATATATAGTTAGATACAAATATAGTATATAAATAATTATACAAACAAATAGTACAAGTACAACAACAAGCTTTAATCCCAACTTAATTGGGATCGGCTATATAGATTTCACTTTTTCTATACAACTATGTTCGAAATTAAACTTTCTTGAATGTCTAGATCTAGAATGTCACCAAGAATTACATGGACCGAAGTCGTTAGGAAATACATTTTAGATTTAGGCATTCAGGAAAGTTTAATTTCAAACAGAATTGTGTGAAAAAGTAAAATGGTACAAGCAAAGAATCATGAAAAGGAATAGAAGCACAGTTTGAACATGATGGTTAGAAACATTATGGTTTGAAATATGTGATTTGAGCTTTTAGTTCATAATAATCAGAGGTCTTTTTCTTTTCACAACTTAAATTTTTTTGTTACAGTATCTTTTCTTACAAAATTTATATTCACTTTTTTTATTACAGCGTTTTATCTCACATGAAAAAAGTTTTAATTCTGATTTGAGTCGGCTCAAAACATCGAAATCATTAGTTTGAATCAAGTCTCAAAAATGGCAATAAAAGTTGGTTCAAAACACTTGAAATTGTTTACTAAATACCCTTTTGACATATTTAATATGCTGGTGTTGTTATTAGATGAGATATCAATCGTGTCGCATTGGCAAACATGGTTTTATTCTGTGTTGAGTCAAGCACAAAATTTTCACGCTTTTTGCAAAACCAAATGCTAAATACTTATAATTAAACCAATAATGGGAATTGCACATCTCGTGCTCATGCGTGACATAACTAGCGCATTGCGTCCTTAAATTCTTCATAAGATATTTTTTGAACGTTGAAATTCTTATTTTCTTGGACACAGTTGAAATTAAAATATTATTAAAAAAACCATTCAAATGAAATGAAATTAATTGATATCCATGCATATTCATTTTTTTAGACAATACAAAATATATCAAGTAGTGACATCTATGTGAATAATCAAATCATTATTTTTTAAATGTTAAAGAAATTTGCTCGTCGTGTTAGCTTATTACACACTACCCCGAGTTGTACTCGGCCTATAGGCCAAGACAGCATTGTGTCATGTTGTGTTATCGTGTTTAATGGGTCGGGTGGGCTAGTTAACGGATAGTCCGACAAGCCCGACACAATCGACATATTTCTCATTATATGGTTCTTCTTTTATCTATAGTCTACCTCTTTCTGCTTTGCTCTCCATCACAAGCATCTTTTATTTATGATTTTGTGTCTGTCTTTACAAGTCATTGCTTGCACATTGCGCCACGCCATGGCATCTCTTCCATGTAAATAGCCTCTAAAGAAAAAGACAATATAAAACCAAGATAACTGTCTTTCTTAGGGGTTTAATTGAACCATGAAAATCTTTAGAAGTTTTGGCTAGAATATTTCTTTCATTAACTTGTGGGTTTCGGTTATCTAACGATTTGTATGGATTTTTCCATTGGTGACCAGAAAAAAGTGTTTTTTTTTTTAAGGATTATTGTGATGCTCATTTAGCCACTTCGATACATGAACTCCAATGAAAGAAGATTATGCCGAGCCACTTTGAACCAACTTTTCAAGGTTGACTATGAAGTCATGACTCATCACTTTTTTATTTTCACAATAAATAAATAAATAAAAATTATTAGTGTCATTTCCTCTCGATTATTGATTCCTAGTTTAGACATCCAATGGCTATGCAAGACTTTCAATTGCGGCCAAAGCTCAAAATACGTATGGAATCCTTTGCATATCCTGAGAGAAAAAGAGGGAAAGACATCATTGCCTTTGCCATCGGTGGTCATGGCTCATTAGTGCTTATTGTGAGAGCTTCTTCATTAGTCCTGAAGATCAGTTTCCCAACAAAACTAACAATTCAAGCGAGCTTAATCATACATGAAGTTCAAGAACTTGAAGCGAACATATGACTAAGTCCATATCAAACAGGACGGTTTAACCTAACTAAGGACCCGTTCGTGTCATAGGTTTAAACAGAAAAGTTTGAACGTTTTTCGCAAGTCTCCTGCGTTACACCAAGCAATACAACTCGGCATTTGGGATCGTACAGAATTTCGATGATTTGCTCTGTAATCCCTTCTCATCTAGACATGTACAAATCTTTGCCCATCAAAGTAAATCCTACTAATACTTTTTGAAGCAGTACAGAGAAATTTAAATCATGAACAACCACACAGCACGTATATACTGTTAGAGATTGCATGAAGAACAGTTAGTAGTTAGTACTACATAGTTAGAACTACATATATATAGATAATCCCTGTATAATCAAATTACTTTGCTTCTCATAGCAGCATTAACAAAACAACTACTTTACTCTATTACAACTTATACATGCCAAAGACTAAGATGCCTCATTGAATAACTGGGGCTATTCTCATATATACCATGAAAAAACATTAACATAACATACAAATAATCATTTAGAATCAATGCTATAAACAACATTCTGGTACAAAAGCTCCTCGCTGTTTCTATCATAAATGTGTAAACTCCTACAAATTCTATAAAATCAAAAATGCAGTTTCGTCCCAATTTTTTTTCTTTTATAACGTTTTAGTTTTAGATTCCATAATTTGTAATAGTACAGGAGCCTTTTGGCACTGGGGTCTGCCTTTTAACGTTTTAGTTTTAGATTCCATAATTTAAATTCTAGACTATCTAAAAAGCAAAGTTACAGTAGTGTATTATCCCATAATATCAACTATAAGTCTATAACCTATACACGCCCATTAGCTAACAAGGGGCAAGGGCAATTCCTTAATATCCCATCAAAAACAACAACAAAAAAGCAAGAAATAAAATTCTAATCAATTTCTATATCACTTTAATAATTTAGAACCACCCAACATTAACAACATTATGGCACAAAAGTTATTATATTTAAGGCTCAATAACTGGAGAAAAAAAAAATCTAAGCTTTCTTAAAATTCCCACTTTAACCCCATTACAACTGGGAGTACTAGTAGTGTAGTACACATGTTCAAAGAACTAGCCCTCTCATTAGCTTCAACAACAATAGCGAAAACAAGGGCTTATTCCTTAATATCCCATCAAAAACACAAAAACAAAATAAAATTCTCAATTTCTTATATATCACTTTAATCATTTAGAACCAGCCAACATAAATAACATTCTGGTACAAAAGTTACTAAAAAATCTAAGCTCTCTTCAAATTTCCACTTAAACCCATTATGTTCTCAAAGAACTTGCCTCTCAGCAGCTTCTGCAAAAATAGCTAACAAGGGCTATTTCTTAATATCCCATCAAAAACACAAAAACAAGAAATAAAATTCTCAATTTCTATATCACTTTAATCATTTAGAACCAGCCAACATAAACAACATTCTGGTACAAAAGTTAATAATAATAATAACAATAATAAATCTTTCTTAAAATTCTCACTTAAAACCATTACAATTGGCTTTACTACTAGTAGATGCTCTTAAAGAACTTGCCTCTCAGCAGCTTCAGCAACAATGGGCAACCTTGGCAACTGACCAAGCAAGCAAGAGGAAGACCCATAAATCAAACAAACCAAAAGGAACAAAAACACAGTACTATCCAAACTCATCATCAAATCCAACCCCAACCCATCTCTTGGATTGAAACTTCTCTCCAACAAATCCGGAAAAATCAGAAGAACATCAAGCACAATTGCCTGCATAGTGTTGAACCTTACATATCTACTGAATTTTGAGTTTCTTACTACCACAAAATAAAGTGTCAAAAACACCAAAAACCCATTAAAGGGAAAGCTCTTGAACACCCTTATGGCCGGCACCAAGGGCTGTATCAGAGCTTGGATGGGGCTGAACTGGGTTATGACGTACTTGCCGTACTGTACGCCGTCGAAGAAGGGGTAGAAGTAACAGATGGCCGAGATTATCCTGTCCGGGGGGTCGGCGGAATTGCTGCCCTTGGATTGGGAGATGATTTGTGTTCTGGGTCTTGGTTTGGTTAGAGAGAGAAAAGTTTGGTGATTTGGAGAAAATAGGAAATTTGAGTGATGGGTTTTGTGGGGGAAGTTCAAAGGAAGAGGGGAGAGAAGGTTTGAGGTCGCCATTTTTTTTTTTTTTTTTGCTTTTCCGATGACAGGGAAAAAGCTCGAGAAAAAGAAGAAGGCGAAAGTAAAAGAGTGAACCAGAAGAATATCTTCTTTTTTCTATTTACTTATTTTTCAATTAAGAAACGACGTGTCAATTTTGTATGAACTTACTTACTGACCGTCGGATCTTTTTTTAAGGGGGCCCTTTTTCTCTTTTTTCTCTCTGATTTTCTCAATATTATAAATATCTTCTGGCCTTGCCGTTTATGTTTGTGGGTCGTTTTTACATTTTATCGTCGAAAGGCAATTTGTTATCGTATTTTCTTTTGGATTTCCTATTTTTTATTGCTGTCGTTTTTTCTTTTTGCCTTTGTCAACGTTGTTTTCATTTTTTGTCGTTTATACCGTTCTTGTTTTAATTTCATGTCGTTTGCAGTTTATTCTCGGTTTTCATCGTAATTTCCTTTATCTTTCTTGTCGTGTGCTCGTGTAGTCGTGTTGCCCTTTTTTTTTTTTTTTTCCTGTTTCTATATGCTGTCGTTTTTATCTTCCTGGCTGTGTTCATTCACATTTTCCCCCCTCTTTTACCAACGTGCTACAGCGGAATTGTGTTTATCCTTTTGTAATTCCTTTGCCCCGTTCCAATTGCTGTCATTTCCCATTTGATTGTCGTTATTTGTCCTGTTCCATTTTTTGAAGCAGTTATCGTTATTTGTCTTTGTCGTTTTTCATTTACTGTTGTTTTAACATCCCTCTTCTTGCTACTAAAAAAAAAAAACAAAAAAACAAAAAAACAAAAATCCCTCTTCTTGGATTTACTTTAAACACGTTGCCCACTTGCCCCTTTCATGTTTGGCTTTTCTTTCGCCCAACTGTAAAAAAAAAACGATTATGAATTCTAAGAATAAAAAACCTAACATATCATTTAAACTCAAATATTTCTTTTTTTAATGTTTAAATAAACGAATGTTAAAATATAAATCAATGAATAAATAGAATATTCATCATCATTCAACAAAAAATGTTACAAACCGTCGAAATTTCTTACAAAAATATGAACCATGCGTAACCAAAGGAGAAAAAAAAAAAAAAAAGAAACGACAAATAATTTAGAAAGCCAAAGCAGCGGCGAACATAGCCAGGCTGCTCAAAACGACATGGACCTCGTACTTTGAAACCACACCCGACCCATCACCAACCGGACCCTGAGCAGTTTCCGGTGACAGGCTCGCCGGTGTCGAAATTGGTGGGCTACCACTCGATGGGAACACCATCGGAGAATCAGCCGGAGTCGCTGAAGTCGAAGGAATCAACCCCGGCGCCTCGGGAGTCGCCGCAATCTCCGGGCCCTCCGCTGGTGGCGGAGCCCCAACGGGACTATCCGCCCCAACCGGACTTAATTCTGGGGCACTCACCGGAGTGGAAACCGTCGGGGGAGGAGTCGCCGCAGCCGGAGACGAAGTTGGCGTAGAGCCACCAGCAGACGGGCTGACGGCGGGGGAAGTCGCAGGAGACTTTGCCGGAGAAACCGACGGCGCCGTCACCGGAGGGTTTGACACCGCAGGAGAGACCGCCGGAGAAGCCTTAGGCGGAGAAGCAGCCGGAGACTTTGACGGGGACGGCGAATGAGTCGGCGGAGCAGGCTTCGGAGAAGCGGCCGGAGAATGCTGCGGTGGCAGCGGCGGAGACGGGGGCGGAGGCCGCTTCGCCGTGGAGGGCTTTGGAGAAGGAGCCGGTGCATTGTCTGCTCGTACCATATCAAAACTTGAAAAACAAAGAACTAAAATTGAAAGTAGAAGTAGTTTATGCATGTTTGTGAAGATGTTTGAAGAAGAACAACAACAAATAGATCAAAACTGATAAGAATTATGAATGAATTGTTTCTTTGATGAAAAAGCGATGGCGAGAAATATATATATATATATATATACACGCACAAATATATATAGGGGAATTTGGTTTTAGAAAACCAAAGCGACGTCACTTTTCAAATTTTGGGGAGGAGAAAAATGTTACCGTTGAGGGGGGTTTTTTGGTAGGGGATGTGACTCGTGACCGGTTATTGTGGGTAAAGTAGTCGTTGCTTCGCATAATGTGACTGGCTGGGCCGGTCATGCTTGTCGTGGAGTTTAAGAGGGTGAGATTCCTTGTTTCCTAGTGGGGCGAGGGATTGTGTCTCACTGTCTCTTTCAGAACAAGTTGGTGTGTATATTATAAAAAAATAAATAAAAATAGTAACATATTAATATAATAGTTTATAGTGGGAAGAATCTTGCATCGGTCAGTCAGGCAATCCTTTTAAACCGTTGGATGAAAACATTAGAGCAGTTCATTTACCGATTTGAGTTTAGAATTTAAGTTTTGTTACAGTAAAAAATTCTCAGAAACAGTCACATCTAACTTTTTTGCTATTAAAAAAGCTCTCACATAAAATTACATCTCAACTCAAATTATAAACTCGAATCAGTGAAGTGAACGGACCCTAAAAGCCCGATTTTCATAAGGGCAAGCTAATATATGTGAACGTAACTCGTTACAATATTTTTTTCTCATAAAAAATATATATAAATTGAGAATAATATTTTGAATTCATGAACTAAATGTTAATAAAGATGGGTAGTGGCTATTAAGGACCCATTTAGTTCACTAATTCGAGTTGAGATGTGACTTTATATGAGAACTTTTTACTGTAGCAAAAAAGTAAAATGTGACTGTTTCTGAGAGTTTTTTACTCTAGTAAAACTCGAATTCTAAAGTTAAATTGGTGAAATAAACGGGGCTTAAAATATATGACAAATAACGTAGGCTCTAGTAATATTAAATGTAATTTAAAATTAGTAAAAGTAAATCCTGGTATTGTTTTAATAGGAAATAAGTGCTTGATTCATAATCATCTCTGTCAGTTTCATTCATGTTTATGTTTATCCTGGTTCAAATTAGTTCATGGTAAAATTTGCTAAATTACTATCTTACAAATTGCGCCCCTTAGACATATATCATATGTTCACTTTTTTTTTTTTTTTGAAAATTACCTATTCACTTGATATTATATACACAGTCATGCGCATTGACATAGTTATAACGGTTATTAATCAAACTATTTAGGTGCCATGTGAGGAGTAATTTTGAAAGTTGTATCTCACGTTAATATTTCAATTACTATGACATTATTTCTAATTTTTTAGTACTAAAGGTCTCATTTGATTGTTAATACACAGTTAACACTAACGTTATATTTGTTAAAATGAAAAGGTGATACGAAAAAAGTTAGATAAATTTTAAAGTTGAAATGTCCTTTTATATTGTATTTTTCTTTTTATTTAATACGTCAGAAATTAAGAAAAACTGAAAATATCATGTATTTATATTTAGACACAAGGATAACATTTACTAATATTTTCGGAATCAAAATATTTGATATGAAATTAGGAAAAAAGATTGAAAATATCACTTATTAATATTTGGTCCAAAAACTTGATTGCAGGGTACTAAAATGGTATCTTTTAAATGTGATGGTAATATTTTAATATATCAAACGTGACGGCACTATATTCATGCGTTTGTTCTCTAACTTTGTTCCATTGATTTTGTATGCATTTTGAAACATCGTTTGGTATGAAATTTAGGTTCAATTATTATCTTTGTATAAGTATAGTAGGCCAATTCATATGCTTAATTATAATGTTCTATTACCATATTTACGCATATTAATTGAAACTGCACTTGTACGCGTGTTAGATTATATAGATAAGAATGAAAAACATATTTATTAGGGTCTCAATTAGAGAAATAAAAAATGTATAATATGACAAAAAGGAAAAGAATGAAAAAAAGGGAAGAAAAAATAGAGAGAAAAAATAGAATGAAAATAAAAAAACAAAACAAAACTCACAAACGAACCGTTTTATTAGGGAAAGATGATTTAAAAAAAATAGACAAGAATATTTATGAGAAGAAAAATAATGTACAATAAGGCAAAAAAAAATAAGAATTTAAAAAAGTAGAGAAAAGAAAGAAAGAAGAGAGAAAAATCGGAGGATAGTTTTAAAAATAAGGGAGATTCTTTAGTACGTCTGGTATACTGGTAGGCCAAGTTTTTCTAATCGTTAAATCTGCGTATTTTTTATTTTTACGTGATTTTATGCAGATCTCAAAGACAGAAAACCTAACATACTGATATGTTGGCGTACCATGAATCCTTAAAAATAAAAAGAAAAAAAGAAAGAAAGTAAAATAAATAAATAAATAAACAGTGAGAAAAAAAAGTAACGAAATGGGGTAATGAAACAAAAAAAATGATTCACACTTTTATATTAAGTATGGAGTAGTCTTCCTAATACTTTTGTGTTTTGATTTTACTCAACTAAGTTTAACAATCACAAGGTTGTTTACTTTTACTACTACTAATTAATTTCAATATTATCTATATTTTGCTATCCTCGTTTACTATTTACTCCATTTACTTCCTAATATTGCGTTAAATGAATTCATCTATGTGTATATTACTCCCAACATTACTCTATGCTCGTTTCATTATGTCCTCTACATATTATTACTACTCATATTTATCTTTGTTTAATTAAATGCATGGTAAAGTTTATATATATATATATATATATTTGCAAGCCCAAATCATTAAACTAAGGTTAACTATTAAATTTGTTACATTAATCCTCTTATTAAACACAAAATCAACTATGTTACAACGTTTTGCTTCTTCAAATACACTTTCTTTGGTACAAATGTACACTAGCAGGTATCTGGCCTTACAATGTCATCCATCTAGCCAATTTACCAATTTTTTTAAGCCTTTGTACATTTTCTAATAGATGTAAAATGACTAATTTGGCCTTTTCAACTCATTTTTATATTGTTTCTTACTCAAACATCAACCTTTTAACTCTTACAAGTGTCCTCACATAAATAACTTTTCTCTAACACATTAACTTTAAGTCAGCATCAATCCATTTTTTACATTGTGCGCATGACAATTTCAACAACTGCTTCAATCATATTAAATATTTAAAAAAGTGAGCAATAATAACCCCAACAAATAAAATAACTAGAAATATTAACAATTATATACTATCTTTAATCTCTGGAGAATTAAAGTCCTACTACAGTTATGATATAATTGTATCTTCATTTACAAATATATATGAACTTAAATTATTATATCCTCAAGAATTCTTACACGCTCTAAATTTCAATGGAATACCACCACATCAATTGAACCTTAAAGTAGGAACTCCAATAATGTTATTAAGAAATCTAAATTAATTAATTGGATTATGGAATGGAACAAGACTTATAATCACACAATTAACAAACAAAATTATAGAAGCACAAATTATAAACTTAAACAATATTAATGAAAAAGTATATATCTCAAGAATAGACATGACTGTGCACGAATCAAAGTGGCCATTTACATTAAAAGACGATAATTTCCCGTAAAAATATGCTACGCAATGACGAAAAACAAAAGCCAGGGACAATCACTGAGAAAAATTGGATTATACTTAGAAATTCATATTTTTACTCATGGACAATTATATGTTGCTTTATCAAGAGCTACAAACCCAAACAGATTACACATATTAATTCATGATTCAATTAATAAATATCCAAATCATCTAAGAAACATTGTTTATAAAGAAATTCTACATAATATCATATAAAATGTAAAATATTGCATAAGAACATATACACTATTAATATACGAAGTCAAAAATACATCCAACATTGTACTAACAATTTCATGTCATCAATATATTTTATTACCACTAGATTAAAAACATATTTAATAAAATTACTCATCCACAACTTGAATAATCATTTTTCTCCTGTAAATGACTAGGCAATATGACAACACCAATTCGTGCATTAAGACCAAATGAAATTTATGAAACAATCCGAGTAAGAATCTGCAGATTATGGACAAACAACGACTTGACCACAAGACGTCTAATAAGTCTTGATTGTCTCTTAGTCGACGAAGAGGTAATAACTTTACCAAACATTACAGTACATTATCTTTTATTTGATAATATATATAATAAAGTTTATAACAATCACATCTTTTTCATTTGCAGCATGAAGCAATCCAAGCATCAATCCGAGCACGTAACTCAGATGTTATTTCTCAAAAAATTCAACTGGGAACTATATACGACATCAGCAACTTCTTTGTTACTCAAAACAAACCAACATACAAAGTTGTACCACATAATGCAATGCTACAGCTTTTGTCCCAGTTGCAGAAGAGGCATTTCCCATCCCTTTCCACAGGTTCTATTTCACAAAATTTGATAAGCTTCAGCACATGATCCAGACAATTAAAATTTTAACTGGTAACATAAATCACTTTTTCCCTAAAACAAAAATATGCATTACTAATCCATTAATTTATGTTCTTAACGTCATCTATTTATCAATCAACATATGTCATCAGCATTGTAACAAAGGTGTAGAGTATTGAGCAAACAAATATTAACAACATGCCAACATCATGACGCACAATAATGATATAAAATATAAGATAAATAAACTTTATGCAAATTTTATCATAATCACGCAATAAAAATTTATATTCATTAAGAGCATGAAACTTTTCTAACAGTCAAAATATCCCAATTTTTCTTTTTTTCTTTTCCCAACTGCAAGTTACTTTATGGGGACATAAAGTAAATTAATTTGACAAAAATGTCCTTAAATCAATAAAAGGACCAGTTGTAGCAGTCTTTGCAGCAATGTTAGTAAAGCAATATCTAGGTATTTTGTTAACAATTTATAAAAATAATTACATATATAAACAAAATACTTACACCAAAGCACACCAAGATATTAATCAATTCATTGCCAATACCTTAGGAAACGCATATGTATCTAGCACCGCAACCACAATCTTCTACATCGATCCAGATATACCAGAGACAATAACATTAAAAACAAGGTAACAAAAACAATTAATAGTATTTAAAAACTAAAAATTCTTTATCATTTCTCCTCCTAACCATTGTTAAATTTTCATCTTCAGATTTTCTCACCAACACCAAGAAATTGACTTCCAAACAGCACGATCAACACCAGCTCAATCCATTGAAGAACAAAAAATACAAAATAGAATAACTAAATACACTAGACCAACGAGGCAACCAGGTTAACATTATGATGTTCCTTATATTTTTTTCTTTCTAATTATACTATTTAAGCTAACAACTTCTCCTCATCAATATAGGGACCAATATTTACAATAAAGGCCACTATAACCGGATTCTCAACTGACCAAGCCTGGTATTATAATTCCTGTCCGAGATGCTACCAACAGCTAAAGTAGGCAGAAACTGGTTAGTGGTGTGATAGCTACGACCACGTAAAAACAATGCCATCCCAATGGTAACCAAAATTACAAATACACTACCGCTAACATCTATTTACATTTATTGACTATAATAAACAATTTATTACATTATCGAACTATTATTTCATATGTTATAGGTACAAACTCATCACACAAATCGAAGATGGAATTGGAAACATGAGTATTACTATATTTGGTAAAGCAGCACATGTCCTGATCAAAAAACCACGCTCCGCACTAACAATTGATGAAGACTTCACCGATCCACTGACAATTCCACCAATCATCGCTCTGCTGAGAGGACAGACAAAGATTTTTCAAATATATTTGCAGGAAAGAGGAACACAGATAAATGCAATAGTTTCAAAAACATGTAAAGATACACAGCCCACAATACCATCACCACAAATATCAATTACCATGCCACCACGCTCGAGGTAAAAAAAAATCTATTAATTTATACCAATTATATATAAAAGATAGTATCTACTACTTTAAACACACATATATAAGCAATATTTTATGATTTCAGCATTCGCCTAGAAACAACAATACTAGGACCAACATCAATTCACCCACAAACGCTAGACCTAAAAAAATCAGGCGCAATGTTAGATATACTTACTAATTTACATTATTTATAAATAAAAAATAATACTTATAATTTCAAATATATAGCCTAACACATTTCTGGCATTTCAGTTCTCAGCCAAAACAAGCAGGACAATCTAGAAAACGCTCAAGAACCAGATAATGTAACTACTCTTAAATCAAAACATTTCTAATTTCATTAATTATTAATACTAATTTATTAAAACTCTACTTCTTACCGCTAAAAACACAATACAAAAAATTAACAAAACAAGCTAGAGTAGAATGTAAAGAAATATGGCCTATTTGTTTCTGGTCTCGTTTTCATTTTTCACAATTTTCGAGAAAAAAAACTGAAAACGTGTACAGAAAACGCGTTTGGCGTAAAATTTTCTAAAATCAAAACTGAAAACACCTGTTTTCATTTTCTCTTTTTTCCTCATCTTTCTGAAAACGAATTTTTTCCGTTTTCATTTTTCTTGTTTTCATTTCCAAACTTCTGAGACTGCGCGCCACCCCCCGCGTTTGCAACTGCCACCCC